ATGTAAGAGTAAAATGGCGATGCATTCTATTATTAAATAGTTTTCATTATTCTTTTTATTACATATTTATACGTTTTTTTATATATTTCTAATACATAAAATATTAAAAAACATCTGATCTCTTCCTTTATTTTACTGTATCCGTTTTAAACTATGCATGTGTGTTCGCGCTTATATTGGTGATTCTGCGATTTTTAGGAGATTGACTTTAGCCCAATGAAAAGAGGTCTACGAGTATGCCAGACTTTGTTTTTTAAGGACATTACCAGTTAAAGCAATAGTTGCATTCAACAGAGAAAACTAATCACAGTTAATACTTAGTGATACTTTAATATGATTGATTTCTAGACTTAGATTCAGCGAAGGAAATAAGGAATCACTAAGCGCTAACTGATTAATTTTTTTCTGTTAAACGCAGTCAAAAGGAACGCAGTGATGTGCAGCGCGCGATTCATTGACATTTACCCGTCTAAAGCACGGCGCCAATTGGATTAGCATTACTCGGTAATAACTACTAGATGGGGTGAAAAGTAACCTCCTTGACCGCCAGAATGCGCCACTACTGCAAAAAAGTTTATGGTGCCTTGTAGTCCGTTCATATTTAGGCAGACATGCCAAGTGGCAGTGCGATACTGCCCTTAGTTTTGTTTTGAGAGCTGATTGTTGTTGACGTGTTTGCGAAAACGATTTTCGTTCTCTCATAAAACATTATTTTTTGAGAGGCAAAACGGCGAAGGAAACAAAAGAAAAGTTGGATAAATATTATGTGGCTAATACTCCGTCAGATTACACCGTCAAATATTGGTTTCGAGAGTTTCGTGGTGGCCGCAACTCCACTACCGATGAAGTCCGCAGCGGCAGGCCCTCCGATGCGGTTACCGAGGAAAATGTCAAAAAAATACATGAAATGGTGTTGGCTGACCGGAAAGTGAAGGTGCGCGAGCTAGCAGATGCTACAAAGATTAGTACTGAGCGAACACGCCATATTTTGGGCGAGATTCTGCATAAGAAAAAAATTTTTTTCATTCCCAAGGAGGTTACTTTTCACCCCACCTAGTACTTCATTGTAAAAAAAAAATGGCTCAGAACTTTTCGACTCAATTTTATTCAGAAATAGCGCTATATACTATAATTCGTGGGCGGACTTTAAGGGAACCTGGTGATTTGGAGGATCAAAAAATTAATAATTTTTTATGAATTTTTTTTGTAAAAATGATTATCAATTTTAGGTTTGGACCTATATGTTATTTACATTTTGTACATATATATGAATTTTTATGAACCAAAATATATTAAAATGTCCGAAAGGCAACAATGGCGGCAAACATAATTTTGTTAAATTGCTGACATTGTGAGCCACAACTAGTTGTCTGAAAACAAAAAATCAAATTGATTTATAATTAATGATGTTGAAAATATATGGTAAATCTAACAAAATAAAAAATCGCGATTTGTTAAAATTATTTCTTTATAAAAAAAAATTCTTTTTTGACCATTACTTTTTTCATTAAATTGCCAAAAAACTATTATTGTTTCAAAAAATTTATTACTTTTTTTGGTTTGCCGTATGGAGAAACTAGTTGTAATTAATGTATAAAAAGCGTAAATTAGTACGCTGAGCCGTTTTTTGTTTACAATGTCAGCAAATTAAAAAAAATTTAAAGTTTTGAGTTAGAATACTTTTTTTAGTACTTACAATAGATTTTTTTATTTGGCGATTTCTGTGCCATAAAATAGTTCATTCTCTTCATGAAACTTCACGAAATGTTTCTTTGTTCGAAGAAGTAGCAATCATATGGCGCCTAATTTTTACCTATACATCATTTTAGTAAACCGTGAATAACTCCATTATTTTACATATTTTTATGAACGATTTTGACAACATATTTTCAAGACTGTCAACTTTCCGAAAATGCAATAAAAAAAAGTCGATTTTTTTTATCTTCCAAACCACCCGGTTCCCTTTAAGAAACACCCTGTGCGTGCGTGCGTGCGTGCGTGCATGGTGCGTGCGCGCGCGCGCGCGCGCGCGTGTGTGTGTGTGGTGTGTGTGGTGTGTGTGTGTGTGTGTGTGTGTGTGTGTGTGTGGTGTGTGTGTGTTACATATATTCAGGATGTCCCCGACTTACGAAATTACCTTTCATGAGCAAATAGATTGAACTGATTCGAGAAGTTCTTCATCATTTTACAATTTTCGTAATACTGTAGAAAATATTAATTTCTAAAGATTACTAAATAAATACGTACATGCGTGAACTACCATCAAATTTCCGTCCATCGGTCGCGGTCGCTTGTCGCGTGAGAACTGCCTGGTAGGCGAGCGCTAAGCGTCATATCTTAAGTAGCGCGCTTATCCGCAGTTTCTACTCCCTACGCAACAAGCGACCGACGTATACTTGGCGCGGATACATGATTACTTAATCATCTTTAGATATTAATATGTCCTAAGTGCAAAAATTGACCTATTGCAAAAATTGAAAAATGATAAAAGACCTTTCGACTCAGTTTAATCCGCTCTACCTGTTCATGAAAGGTGATTCCATAGATCGGGAACACTTTATACCGGATGTTTCAGACCACTCTACTCTATTTAAAAACGAAAAAAGTAATTATTTTGAAAAATGTTTTAGAAGAAAGTTGTTGGGGATCAAATAATGCATTACAATATGCGATTGATCTTTTGTGGCATTGTGAAGGTCATGTCGATTTGAATTTCTAAAATGGGAATCCATATCTTTCATTCTTATAACTGACATCATCACGTTTTCGAAACAGTAGTTAGAAACCTTATTTAATAGAGATCTTCTTAAGACTTCAAAATTTCGCTGGCATATTATTCAAGATATACCGCGTGGAAATCGCACGATAGAATTTACACCTCTTCGGGGTGCTTGAGTAAAATAAATATATATGTACAAAATGCATTCATCTGGTTACTAAGTGTAACATTGCATTTGTTGTTCTTTGCATAGAATTAAACAAAAAAGAAATTTGTATGTGATAATACTCGAAATATATAGAGTGTATTTTATTTTAATTAATGCATTTGAATTTCTCGGATACTACAGGGTGTGTCACCAAAATCCGGACAAATTTCAATTTAAATTTTCCGCTATATTGTGTCACCGCCAGAAGTTGGCGTCCGAGAAAGCCTGATGCTTCTAGTAAACAGTCATATTCTCAAAATGGCTGCGATGTTGAAACCAAGTGCGGAATATAATCGAAGAGCTGCAATCATTGAAGGCCTTCGCGCTGGGCACTCAGCAATAGAAATAATTCGGTTGCTTGGATACCCGAGATTAACCGTTTATGACGTTGTGGCAAAATATACAGCTTTAGAACAGTCCAACGAAGGTTCCAGTATGCCAGCGAGGAAGAATCACTGGAAAGAACGCATCGCGAGGACCTCTACAGTCGTTGAAAGGGCTCAAGCGCTGATTTCGGATGACCCAGGGCAATCATTGCGAAAATTAGCATCGATTGTTGGTGTAAGTGAGCCAACAATGCGTCGAATTTCTGAGGAGGACTTTCGATACAAATCGTACACATTAAAGACACGACAGATGCTCTCTGATGCTGCCGGACAAGCCGAGTTGCTCGTCTCGGCTCTCATTTTGGTTTCTCAACAGCCCAGATTTAAATCCCTTGAACTATTACGTATGGAGCATAGTTGAAAGGATCACAAACAAGTCTCGTTATCCCAATGTGACATTATTAAAGACCGTTATTGAGGCAGCATTCGTCGGCATAGACAGCGCTACATTACAGCATGCGTGCAAACATTTCAGACCGAGAATAGAGGCCATCATTCAAACTAATGGGGGATATATCAAATAATTATGCTCTACAGGGATCCCTCAAGTATCATATGAAAGGATTTTTTGTATTTAATTTTTCATTAAAAACATTTTGTTTAAAGAAATTGTTCGATTTATCCAGATTTTGATGACGCACTCTGTATGCAAGATATCGAAATCCTATTTTTATGATGTGATATCGAGGAGGACATATTTTGGGGAACAGATTCTGTAATTGGGCTCAATATAAAATGCGGAAGGATTAGTAATTTTTTCTTGAACGTGTTATTTTCTGACGATGTAACTTTTATTAAATAATGTAGGCCATGTGAATCGACACAATTCACATTAATCACAAAGAAATCCTTATTAGTACAATACTATACCAAAGATCGGTGAATATTTGGTGTAGTATTATGAATACAACATATTATGGATACATCATCGGTCATTTCTTCAATGATATCCTACAGTGTGGTTTACAACAAGTTCTTACAACAGTCTGGAACAAAAGTTACCAGAATTGTTAGAGAACATCAATCTTTTAACTTGGTAAAAACTGTAATTTCAATAGGATGAAGCGCTTGCACATTATGATGTGTATCAAATGTGTCGTCATCATTTAGACATCGTATTGTTTTCTGCATTCGTAGTAAAGGACGATAGTTCGAACATGCACAAACATTGGAAGTTCGTGTTTAGATTGATTTTCTATCCTTGAATCATAACGCTTTGAGCGCTCGTAATGAGTATGGCCACAAACGTAGGTATTTAAAAAATTAGATTGCCATTTACAAAAATTCTTTCATTTGATCTTAATGGTCCAGTCCAAGATGAAATCTTGTTAATCAAAATATGTCCCCTTCGACATCACATAACATCGTAAAAATAGAATTTCGATATCTTGCATTCCGGAGGAATTCAAGTGCGTTGATTAAAATGGGGTATATGATTAATATTATATGTATTTTGATTATATTAAGAAAATTACATTTTTATATGAAAATTATTGTTTTAATTGACAAAATAAGTAATGATATATAAAAAATAAAATTCTAATATTAAAATGAATTATAAAAGCGTGAAAAATGTGCTAGTGCATTTAATATTATTTTTAATTCTCAAAAAAATTGTTTTAGATGCGTACATCTCATTTTTTCTCTAAATAAACTTAGAAAATGTACAAGTGATTGTTTTGCTTACCTCGCCAGCTCACTTTAATCGGACATGTGATTGTCTGATTTTTAATGAGATATGCATTCAGTGCCGTCAGGCTTGGGCTTTTTCGTAAGGTACCCTCATCATTTTTCCACACATATGTAATCGCTGTCTGCTCATACGATACTGAAAATAAAATTAAGTTTTTATTAATTTAAGCATGCATTAAAAGGATATTTATACAATATAAAAGGACAGTTATGTTATTCATATTTAACAGCTATTCTAATTACTCACTGCTCTCGATTGCGAATGAACACAATGGGTCGTCGAAAGGGAAGATATTGAGTCTACCCTGGCAGGATAGAATAAGATGACGCCTGTAAAAGGATAATAATGCATTTACGAAGAACGTTTTTAGCTAATAAATAAAAAAAATTAAAAATTTTCCAATATTTCAAGTTATTAAAAAAATTTTATAAAATTTTATAGAAATATTCTTTAGAACATTCGCAATTACAAGGAAAGAAATAATTATAATAATATTTAATTTGCATAACAGATATATTGATGTTTCAAATACCGCATAAGATAGTTGACGGTGCCGTTACGATATATCCGCAAGGCAAAGTGAACAGGAATGATGGGATCTTTGAAATCGCCATGCATTATGAAATACGTATCCGGTAACCAGATGTTCTCGTAATGATGAATCGCATTTAAAAATTCGTATCTGGATCTGTTGCTATAACGCAATCGAGGATCGTACCACTGTTGCTGCAGTAGGAATTCCACCTCGTATTTCTATGAAAGTAGAAAGACGATCGCATAATTTATATATATATATATATATATACACACACACACACACACACATATATATATATATATATATATGTGTGTGTGTGTGTGTGTGTATATATATATATATATATATTTACTATATTATCCCCTCGATCTGACCTTTGACAATTTAAGCGCTCCTTAGATCAACACTCCGAACTGCTTAGGCGGAGTTCAAGCAGTTTCGCATAAAATGCATACATTAATAAAAGTTAAATTGTGAATAATAACAGCATCCAAAACTTAATGAGAAGATTTGGCGACTGTGAAAGTGAGTTACTCGCCGCTTATTTGGTTGAATTTAAGTTCATATAAGTATTTGAATTTGAAACAGATTCCACTATAGTTTTAGCAATCTGTGAGTGACTATCTTGATCGTTAGGTCAAATCGCGAAATCAAATATAGAATAAGAATATTGCTAAAGAAGACTCGAAAGAGAGTCGAAACCTTAAAGAATCTCAAGTTTTTTAAATAAAGAAGATATCTGTACATCAAATAAAGTAACAATTTACTTGTTTTAAAAAAATAATTTGCGCACCTCCTTGCGCGCTGATTTTCAGTAGCGTATATTATTTTTATTTGTGTTGTTTTATATTCGCTCTTACTCTGCATTATCTGCACATAACTTACAGGTATAGAGTAAACAAGAATCAGTAAAAGAATATTTATTAAATATTAATTTCATATTATTTATTTGATTTATTATTAATATTAATTTATATGAAATAATTGTTTAATATTTATTTAACATTAATTTAATAAAATAAATAATCCAAGTAGAAAGGCTTTAATGAACGAATCAAAACGTTAAAGAGAAGTTTTTGAAAGCCAACACAGATTGTGTGTAATTACATACTTTATTATAAAAGATAAATATAAGTTTCGATCCTAATTTGGATCATTTTCACATAAATTTAATATTCACAGAAAATAATAATCATAGACATCGTCACGAATATCGAAGTAACAGATATGTCAAGAATATCGATGTAAGAGCGTTAATATAGTCAAATATTGACTAGTTCTCACGTCCACATCTCTTGTTCATTAAATTTTGATAAACTAAATAACATAGTGCATCAATATGATACTGTCACTGTAAAAGTTAATTGTAACAAAATGTGCACTTACATGAATGATGAGGTTGATAACAATATCTGCGTGTACATGATCATCATACTGTCAGGTTTATTGTATATTAATAATTAACTAATTTAATGAAAATATTAATTATTGATGTTATAAATTACAAAAATAAGGATAAATTAAAATTTACACGAAAACGCTATCTAGTAATAGACGATGAAACTGATGATTAATGGTGAGAACATTATAGACATGAGTGTCAAAATAATCGTGAAGTATATAAGTAAAATTGATAAACAATACAGGATAAAGAAAGAAAAGTGTCATAAATTCGCGAAAATATTCAAATATATTAGATCTAAATAGTAATGCTATGGGAGTTCTAATTCGGCAACTCTAAGGGGAATGCGGGGCGCGGGGGATTCTTCGGAGGTGGGGGTATGGCGTCATGCGGAGTGGCAGTAAGACATCACAAATTTTGGGGACTGCAGGCACGTGCAAGACAACAAAAAACATTACAAAAAAGAGAATATTGCAATGAACAAAAAAACAATACTAAAAATAAATGGTTGTATTATAAAATGAAAAGGGTTATAAAGGCTATTCGTCGGTATATGCTCCAACCATTTTTCGGTCAAGATATAGCGTAACGTAATTTTTCTAGAAACAACATTTATTAATTATTTTAAATAAATACGATCAAGTTTCAGTAATTAATCGATTAAGTGCCAACATCTGGCTCGAAATCGATGATATTGAAACATAATGTCTTTCTTCCTTGATAAAAGAGCCTCGATCGTTTATCCCTTTTTTGAGAGGGGACATGGCAATCGAACATGTTTTTTGCAATATGTTTCAAAGGTTAGTAGAAATGTATTAGGTGTTGGAATTAATTCGTAGCGTTTTTAATGAAAGAATGTTATTTATTTCACATGAGCATTAAAAAATACATTAATGAAAGTACTTCCCATCACTTGTAAAACGCTACGAATTAATTCCAACACCTAATAAATGTAAGTGAAACTCGATAGAATTACATTTTCATAAATTTTGAGGGTGAAGCGTTTTGAAGCATACGTTGAAAATGAACGCATAATGCTCTACTCTGAAAAGAGAGAGTTACAGACGAAAATAAATTCAATCTAGAAATGCGCCAGATTATAGTACGTTGAAATCTATGAGAGTGGACTAACTGTTAGTAAGTCTAACTGTTAATAAATCGTTGTAAATATGGATCGAGATTTCAATCAAGTAGAGCGCGATCAAGTTGAAGCGATTCCATCAAATTACTACTTTGAAGGAGTGTTTCGCGTGGATAGAAGAATGCAATAAATTTATTAAACAGCTTGAAGAATGCAATCATGTCAAGCGTCCACGACTCTCTACTGTATATAGACAATCTCTAATCGCTACAATTGCACGACTCGAGGGTACAAAGACTCATTAGAAAGATGATTTCTGCATTTTGATTACGCGAGCACTACCAATAACAGTGATAATAATGTGGAAAGATCTTTTGTTTAGCGAGAGATCGATGCAGCGTTTGAAAATCAAATTTTAACCGGTGTGATAATTAACGCGACTATATCGAGCCGCGATGATTTTTAGAAGACATCAGCAGTGTAATGCTCGAGCGAGTGCAAGACACAATGGAAAGATAAAACTGTATAAAAGTAAATACGATATTTAACGGCGAATTTGCGACGTGTGATAAACGTCCCAATAAAAGTATTAATACTAAAAATTATGAACTCTTTCAAACATCGAACTTGTATGAGATATGCGAGCAGCACGTCATCGAACTCACGTTGACAATTCTCTTGAAGAGTTTTAAAAACGTGACAGTGAGTGGGCGTTGTCGCGGATCTTGAATCTTACAATAAACATCAATAAGTGTAATCCAATGCGCAATGGGATGTCGCTTTGAAGTGCGAGAGATAATGACAAAGAGAGCGGATTAACGTGATTAACGTGCGATCGATGGACAATGAATGCTTCGCGTGGTCGATGGTCGCCACTCTGTATCCAGCCGAAAGAAACGCGGATCGTGAATCTTCCTACACACACTATACGATGGTGCTGAATTTGACGAAATTCGAATGTCTCAACGACCATTAATGTATACGATATCGAGGGACAGAAAATGCTAAACGTTCTCTCGATACGACTCGCTGAGTCGCGACGACAGAAAGGAGAAACATGTGAATTTACAAGACTACATTTTCAAGATCCGCGAGACAACAATGTGAATCATTTCGTATGGATCAAGAATTTGTCCCGGCTCATGAGCTCGCAATTGAGTAAGCATCATGGTCAAAAGTACATTTGCGATAGGTAAGTATATGATTAATAAAAGCGAATTCTTTTTTAAAAAAAATTAACATTATTTTATTTTTATTTGTAGCTGTTTACATTATTTTCATTCCAACGAGAGATTCCAGTCACACATTGTAGATTGCCGACGGATAAATCGACGACTGCGCTATCCGACTACCGAGCGACGACGACAAGTGGTTAAGTTTTAACAATTATAATAGGAAAAAACGAGTTCCATTTGTCGTTTACGCTGATTTAGAATGCATCTGCGAGAAAATTGATAGCGATCAGGAAGCATCTACGCGCAACATCATCATAAAATATTTAGCATAGGATACTACGTGCGCTGTTCGTACAACGATTTGCTATCAAAATATCAATTTCGCGATCCGGATTGCGTTTCATGGTTCATCGAAAAACTGAGAAGTTTAGCACTTCGCGTAAAAAAAATTTTAGTAGCTAATGTTCCTATGGAAACTTTGTCGAGCGAACAGTGGGAGACATTGCGTAGCGCGACGCATTGTCACGTGTACGAAAAGCCTTTCGCACTAGATGATAATCGAGTAAGCGATCATTGCCATTTAACCGATCGTTACAGAGGTCCTTCGCATTCAAAAAAATTGCAATTTAAATTATAGAAACTCTTATTTTATTGCTATAGTTTTCCACAATTTATCAGGTTATGACTCATATTTTATTATATTATCAAAGAAATAGCTACACCATATGAAAGCAGTATAGATTTATTATCAATAACAAAGAAAAAATATATATCATTAACAAAAATTGTTAAAGATACCGCTGAAAAATCAGATTCGCGAAATTACGACACAATAAAATTACGATTCTTATAAATTTTTAAGTACCAGTCTCGATAAATTAGCATCCTTTCTCAATAAAAATGAACTTCGAATTTTACAATGCGAATTTCAAAATTTGTTCGAAAAAGACTTCGAGTTACTGACACGAAAAGGGATTTTTCCATACGAATACATTGATTGCGCTGATAAGCTGCAGGATACAAGTTTACTATTGCGTGAATCATTCTACAGTTCCTTGACCGGTGACACTGTATTCGAAAGCGATTACGTGTATGCCGTGAACGTTTTGGCAATAGTTCTCTGTTCAAACCTTGGGTGAATATAGCGATCTATATTTAAAAACGGACGTATTGCTGTTAGTCGACATATTTGAAAATTTTCGCGATAAATGTATTGAAAGTTACGGTCTCGACGTATTATTATATTTTATCAGGTAAACTTTACTTTTACGTGGGACGCTATGCTGAAACATCCACGCGTAAATTTTGAACTACTCACTAACATCGATATGGTGATATTTATCGAGCGCGGTATACGCGGCGGTCTTAGTCAATGTTCCAGCAGGCCAATAACAAATATATACAATCGTATGATCCATCGAAACCTTCTACGTACTTGATGTACTTCAATGTTAATACTCTATATGGATGTGTCAACCATTGCTGTTTGAGATCGGTAATTCGAAAGGAAAGCAAGAATTCTTTCAGTCGATCGACGTTAATTGTCATTGAACGCAT